GCAGATAAACTGAATATAAAATAAGTCCGGTCAGAAAAAAATTGGCATGGCTTCCGCAAAGTAAAGTTACTTCTTTGAAGATCTCCATTAGCATGTAGATTGAGAATAGCTAGTAAACACCTTGTACTTGCATTTACAAAAAAAATCGAAACAAACCCTTGCCAAAGGGTAAAAAACTCAGCAGCTATGGTATAAAATAATTCTCACAGCTTAGTAACCAGTTAAAAAGCAGGTGAACAGCTTTCACAAACAGGAAATAAGCAGTGTCCATTCTGCAGATGCATAGACACAGAGATCTGCATAATTGAGTTTATTTATTTGTAAGTGACCCGGAGTTGGCATATACAGTGAAGTAGTCAGGTTTGCAGAAAACATCAACTTACTATGAAAGGCAAAAGCACTGAATAAGTTGGTGGCAAAATGGCAAACGAAATGATGCAACAAAAGCATGTTGGCATTTTTTTTAAAATCCAGCTACACTTAGTCACTAATGAGACCTAATACTGTAACCATCCAGCAAAAAGATAAAGGGGTCATAGAATCCTAGCGGGAGTCTCACTGGACGTATCAGGACAGAGTGCTATAGCAGGGAGATGGAGAAACACATCCCGTGTTAATGTTTAACCCAAATTGAAATAAGAGGGCAAGTGTTACAATGCTGTTCAACAAAATCCTGGTATGCCCACGTTTAGAATTCTGTGTGAATTATGATCACCTTGTGTCAAAACCAAAGACTGGAAGCATATGGAAATATGTTTACCTTGAGGTCCAACAAATTACACTAGGCTATGTAAAAGTAAAGGTAAAGGTAAAGGTTCCCTTGCTCGAAAGCCAGTCGAATCCAACTCTAGGGTTGCGGTGCTCATCTCCGTTTCAAAGCCAAAGAGCCAGCGCTGTCCGAAGATGTTTCCGTGGTCATGTGGCCGGCATGACTAAACCCCAAGGCGCACGGAACGCTGTTACCTTCCCACCGAAGTGGTACCTAGTTATCTACTTGCAATTTCTTGCTTTTGAACTGCTAGGTTGGCAGGAGCTGGAACTAGAGACAGGAGCTCACCCCGTCTTGCGGCACCCAGGTCTCGAACTGCTGAACTACTGACCTTCCACAGCCTGCAGTTCAGCGGCTTAACCACTTGAGCCACCGCAGCTGTAAAAGTCCTCCTGTTGAAAACTAAAGCTTTCTTCCAACAGGCTGGCTGCAATTAGGAAACACTGACTAAGTGACCACAAATCCTTGAACAGGAAAAAAACACCTGGTTGGATCAGCAGCTGGCGGCAAGCCTGCCCCCCCCCCATTACCAAAGGAGTCATCATAGAGGCGTGGACACAAGGACTTTGCTAACTGGCCTGGCTGAAGCCAGGAACTTGGGTATAGCCTCAAAGGGCAGCTGTGTTGCTCTGCAGTAGAACAGTTAGAGTCGGGCCCAGTAACACCTTAAGAGACCAACAACAGTTTCAGGGTATAAGATTTCAGGAGCCAAAGCTCTGCTTTGACCCTTAAAATCTTATACCCTGGAACTCTCGTTGGTCTCTTAAGGTGTTACTGGACTTGAACCTAACAGGGTCTTGGGCAGTGTTCCCTCTAAGCTGAGTCAGCGTGAGCTAGCTCACAGTCTTTTAGCCTCCAGCTCACACATTTTTTTGTCTTAGCTCAGGAAGGATGGCTCCAGAGCAAATCAATTTATGCAGCAGCCAAATTACTCACGCGCAACTTTAATGCCAGCAGCTCACAAAGTAGAATTTTTGCTCACAAGACTCCACAGCTTAGAGGGCGCATCTGTCTTGGGCAGTTCTCAAAGCAGCTGAGGGGAGAGGAGAAAAGCTTACTGGAGGCCCTGGGTGAAGAGAAAAGCTTACTGGAATACCGGAATAAACAACTCTGCCAGTTATTCAAACTGACTGTTAAAAAATATGCTCGACATCTTTTACCAGTTTATCGTTAGAAGAACAGAAGTCCAGCTCTGATAAGCAAAAAAAAAAAAAAAAGCAATCAGCATTACTTCCTCCCAGAGACTGCTGTACAACCACGGCACATTTCTATCTTTGCCAGTGGCTGCGTCCACCTGCACGCCTGCCAAAGGCAGAGTGACTTTGTGGACGCACGTTGCTCATACTGTAAATAGCAGTAATAGCTGGAACTTCACAGGCCAAAATAAATGACGCTATCAAACCACAGCCTGGACCAGGACGGCCCCAGCTAGCCCAGCCTCATCAGATCTCAGAAGCTAAGCAGGGCCGGCTCTGGTTAGTATTTGGGTGGCAGACGACTGGCAAACCACCTCTGAACACCTCTTGCCTGGAAGACCCTATGGAACCACTGTACGTCAGCTGCAACTTGATGGCACTTCCCCCCTCCCCACAACACCAAATCACACAGCTTAAGTATAACTAAAGATCTTCGACGTGGTCTCTGTGCTTCACACCCATGGGATCTAGTGCGCGCGCGCTGGATCAATCGGTGCTGTAGCAAGTTCTTTTTTAACGGATTTTCACGCCCAGTCCCTCGGACATGCGCAGGAACCCCGCCGCACATACCCAGAGGAGTGGGCGAGGACATCCCGCCAGTTCCTTTCTTACCGCCGCGTTGGAAAGACCTCTTTCCAGTTTGGTGTAGTGGTTAAGTGAGCGAACTCTAATCTGGGAGAACCGGGTTTGATTCCCCACTCCTCCACTTGCACCTGGCTGGATGGCCTTGGGCAAGCCATAGTTCTGGCACAGCTGTTCTTGAAAAAGGGCAGTTTCTGTCAAGAGCTCTCTCAGCCCCACCCACCTCACAGGGTGTCTGTTGTGGGGAGGGGAAGGAGTCTGTAAGCCGCTCTGAGACACCTTTGGGTAGTGAAGGGCGGGGTATAAATCCAATCTCTTTTCTTCTTCTTCTCTTTCTTCGTCGGTCTGATTGGTTCGCGGTTCACTTTTACCTCACAGCTCTAGCTCTTACGAAGAATTATTTCCATACTTTGTTTTTTCTGTTTTAGTTGTTTGTTCTTCAAAATTCAAAAAAAAACCCCTTTATTTTCTTCTGAGGGGAATTTACCACAGGCCTTTGGGCCACCACCACCTCCAACCGTTCCCTCCACTTCTCTTCTTTATGGAGAAAAAGTGGGGATTTTTCAATAGATGCAAACGTTGTGGTAGCAAACTTGCTCCTCCCGACCGTCATACTCTCTGCATTTTTTGCCTTGGCAAATCTCACAAGCCAGAGTCTTGTCCTCACTGTGTGCATTTCTCTAACCAACCGAGGAAAAACAGTAGCGGGGAAGGAGGGCAGGTGGTATGAATGCACAGATGACCACTCGAAGATCACCAGTTACTGGTAAGCAACCTGCTTTTCTCAATTCCCCCCCACCCCATTTCACTGCACAAGTATTAAACATGAAAAGACATTAGATCTACAGAACTGTGAAACATAAGCAGAAGAATGATAGACAAAAAGTCTACACGGGAAAATAAGCAGCCAAGAAAAAAATTGTGTTAAGATATTTATAACTTACTTCTGTCTCATTTGTAGGTAAAGATGTACCTTTTAAGCTGTACCTTAAAAAATCCAACTCTATTATCTTCTGTCAGAACAGTTCACTGCTTTAAAAACAGAAGGTACTAATATCTGATAGTATTCTGTTTGGGGAAATCAGGTTAAAATGGTTTGTCAACCACCACCAAACAAAACTTCTGATAGTCATTTAAATCAAGTGACATTTATCAGTGCGGGGGGGGACTGGTGCTTCTGGTGGTATCATCTCACAGGAGGAGGATAATGGGATGTGGGAAGCAAAGAATGGAATCTTTGCTACCACGCAGGCACACACCAACCGTGTAAACAGGAATAGCTACCACTTCCCCACTGCACAGTCAAAACAGACCATTGCAGATTACAGTTCAACCAGAAAGTTTCATTGATCGAGGGGGAATAAAGCCCGGCTTCCACTGCGCAGTCATCCCAAATGCAAAGGCAGTGAAGTAAACTTGTGTTCCTTTAGAAAAGGAACATTGTCTCAGACCTATCCTCTGAGTTCTTGCTCGCCAAGGTGGACTGTAATCTCTGCTGTTCGTGCAGTGTAGGGGTGAGGAAAGTCCACTTTCCCTCCAGTGCTTTCAAACAGTTCAGATAATAAAAGGTGTACAAAGGGAGAATGGCTTCAGTACAGAAATTAAAGCAAGAGTCCAGTACCATCTTAAAGATTAACGAAATGTATTCCAGCATAACCTTTCTTGAGTCACAGCTCACTTCCTCCGATGCAAGACTTAAGCATGCGTATCAAATTTCAGATTGCCCTTACAGATAACACCCATTACGTGGCAGTTAAGAAAAGCCTGCCCATCCTGGCCTCCAGCCTTTGTTGAGCTGGTCACATGGACCACAACCACGCACAAGATTCAGCTACCCACACGCCTTGGGAATCCTCCAGAAGTGGAACCCCCGGCACATGACAACAAGCTGCATGTAACAGCCAACTCACTTAAATTTGCATCCCATTCACCTGGACAGGGGCAGCTTTACTGATCGAATGACCACTCCCTCCCTGCCTGGGCTGATACTACTGGGAACTGATCTAAAGTCCCTGCGCATCAAAGAGAAGTGTGAAAGGATTTCTGATGATTACAGGCACTTTCTGGAAGCAGCCATTCTTGGGACCTGACGAAGACTATGAACCCCCTAATATGACTGAAGAAAGAAACTTCCACCAGGTTGACCAGTCACCAGGATGCTGCTGGATAAGATTCCCAACACCCTACCAGGGGGGAAGGGGGCAGGAGACTGAGAAGGGGACAGGAGTAAACCTTTTTGTGGCAAGCGAGGGAGAAGGTCCTTTGAGGCGGAAAGTGGTGAAGCAAAGGGGCAGAGCAGAAGATAAAAGTACTAGGGGGTGGGTCGGCCTTCCTCCCGTTAGGAGGATTACGGTGCAGTCCTGTTCCCTGCCGCCAGAGGGTGGTGGAGAGCGCGGACCCCACTTCAGCGGCGGCTCGTGCCCAGGCAGTGGGGCAGCCGCAGCATCCCTTACCTGCTTTGCCAGCCCTGCAGGAGGTTGGTGTACTTGCTCAGGGTCCCCTCGAGCACCGGCTCCGTCTTCCTGCCGGGCGTCGTCAGTCCCCCTCCGCCGCCCGCTCCGGGACTGGCCGCGGCCGAACTGGGGCTGCTGCTGCTGCCGCCACCGCCTCCGTCCAGCCTTCCCGCCGCAGCCCCGGCCGCTCCTGCCTGGCGGCCCGAGAGCCCCCGGCTAGCCGAGGAGCAAGGCGAGGAGCCCGCCGACGTGGGACGGCTGCTGCTGCGGCTGCTGCTGTTACTACCTCCGCCCGCGGCTGCCGCGCCTTCGGGGCCGCCCTGCGCTGCTGCTGCTGCTGCCGCCGCCGCCTTCTCCATGGAGCCCCCCGGCAGGGACTGGAGCCACTCCGGCCTCGGCTGCAGAGAGTTGCCGCCGGCCGGCTGGCCAATGCCTGACTCCCGCCTCCTCTTGCTGCTGCTGCTGCTGGGGGGGGGCTCGGCGGCGGCGGCGGCGCTGCTTTGTGCCCGGACGGCGAGAGATCCGCCCCCTCCCCGAGCCTCCCCCAAGCCCGGCCTCTCCCGCCAGGCGCAGCTGCGAATCCCTGCCTCGCCGCTCCAGCGAGAGGGACGCCAGGAGGAGGAGACGCCCCCGCCCAGCAGAGGGAGCGAGGAGGAGGAGGAGGAGGAGGCGGCGGCAACCCAACTCGTGCTGCTGCTGCTGCCGCCACGGCTCTCCTCCGGCAGCGCAAGCAAACGCGGGCCCGCCTTTCCACGCCATTTGCGTGCGGCAGCTCAGGCCAGGCTGCCGGCCGGCGGGTGGGCGGCCTGGCCCGGGGGAGATACCTCCGTGGCGGCCACCTCTGCTCCCGAAAACAAGTCTTTCGGGACACAACCTCCGCAGGAGGAACCGCCTTGGGGAGTCCTCCTGCACTTTTGAGTGGGAGGGAGGAACCGGGAGGGTTTCCAGTAACGCTGTTCGAGCCTTAGCTACTCGGAAGTAAGCTTAGCTGAGTTCTGTGCACCTTGCTTCGGTCCTGTGCATACTTTCCCCCCCCCCCTGAAATTATGCGTGCAGAACCCCCATGCCGGAATGGGGATTGCGCTACTATCGATAGTTTCCAGCCGGACTAGTTTGTCCACACATGCGGGTAATCCAGTTGGGGAATGATTGCTGCAATGGATCTCGCAATAACCCGTGAGGTTTTCGTACCACGTGCAGCCCGAGAATATGCAAGTTTACTGGAGAGTTAAGTCCCACTAAATCCAAGGAAATGTGCAGCTGAGTAAGCAACAGGAGATTGTATCCCAAATTATGATTGTTTTAGGCTACCGGGTTTGTTTGGAATTTTTTGTAAAGATGTTACAAAGGGTCATAAAATATTATCAGAAATAAGTATTTATTATGTAGTGTGAAGAAGAAGCGATTGGATTTATACCCTGCCCTTCACTCAGTCTCAGAGTGGTTTACAATCTCCTTTCCCTCCCCTTCCCACAACAGACACTGTGAGGTAGGCAAGGCTGAGAGAGCTCTTGAGAGAACTGCTCTTGAGAGAACTTGTGACTGACCCAAGGTCACACCAGCAGTTGCATGTGGAGGAGTGGGGAATCAAATCTGGTTCTCCCAGATTAGACCCCACGCTCGTAACCACTACACCAAACTGGCTCTCGATATTAAAATGTGCACAATAGTAACATTGAAAACATAGGGCCTGAATATCAGGCTACATTAAGAGTCGGAGCAGGCATTACACAAGTTGTAATAATTTCCCAAATGCAGTTGATGAACATGTCAAACGACCAGCACAAATCATACATGTTTCGGTTTGCTCTGACTCTTAATGCAGCCTGATATTCAGGTCCTATGTTTTTAATTTTACTATTGTGCACACTACATAATAAATACTTATTTTGATAATATTTTATGGGTTGTAGCTTGACCCTTGTAGCATCTTAAGTATATTTTTTTTCTTTGTTGGAAATTTTTTGCCCTGCACCTTCTATAAATTCAGGAGGGCTTGCGAGCATCATTTCCAGCAACCCTTCCAGAGCCAGGAATCCCCTGAACTGCAAACTCAGGAAGTCATGGGACAGGAAGAAGGTGGACAGAGTGGTGAACTCACCAGTGTCAGAGACCCTGGGCAGCAGATCAAAAGAGCCAGAGACAGGAAACAGAAGCTGAGCAAAGGCAGACGGATCATAGTGAAGAACTGGTCAGGGTCAGAGGCTCACGGAGGCATCCTGCCCATCAGGACAGACTGCTCAGCCAAATGAGCCCTGGCCCTCATGCCTTCACTGTCCCCCCGCCCCCCAGAATGGCTTTGGTGGGAGGCCCACCAGCCAGGATGGATGATCAAGGACAGTCCAGTAGCAGCATCCATCACCACAGCAAAGCCAGGCACAGCGGCTGCCTGCCTCCCTCAGCTCATCCTTGTTTGCCCAGACCCATCTGTGATCTCTGCTGGCTGGCCAAGGGCAATGATTGATAGACGTTGTCAGATGTCAAACAAGGACAAGCCCAGGCAAGCAGGCAGCAAATGCAACAGCTGACTTTGTTGCCCCAGTGGCTCACCCCTTCCTGGACGGCTTCATCGCTCCCCCACCACCACCAGGCTGGCTGGACCCAGGCAGGACAGCTAAGGAGAGGTGGGGCCCTTCCAGGCCGCCAGACTACCAGGCTTTATCCTGGTGGCTATAATGGCCAATCCACCTCTGCTGTCTGCCACTGAGTGACCCTTTCCGCTGTTCCCATCAGCCTGCCTGCAAAAAGAGACCGGAGTCTTGGCGCCCTGGTTCTGTATGCAGCAGGTACACTAACAGACGGTTCTTTCAAAAGGCAGCAGAAAAATGAAGGCTCTACAGTAGCTGGCAACCCAGCAGGTGGGGCTCCATGACTGACCCATGGGGGTGAAGAAAACTGATTTAAAATATTCATTGTCTGGGAGGGGGATAAAATAATAGCACAGCAAGGGTCAGATTGTCATTCAGCCCCTGACCTGGATGGCCCAGGCTAGCCCAATCTCAAGAAGAAGAAGAAGAGATTGGATTTATACCCTGCCCTTCACTACCCAAAGGTGTCTCAGAGCGGCTTACAAACTCCTTTCCCTTCCCCTCCCCACAACAGACACCCTGTGAGGTGGGTGGGGCTGAGAGAGCTCTGACACAAACTGCTCTTTTTCAAGGCCAGCTGTGCCAGAGCTTGCGACTGACCCAAGGTCACATCAGCAGGTGCAAGTGAAGGAGGGGGGAATCAAACCCGGTTCTCCCAGATGAGAGTCCGCACACTTAACCACTGCACCAAACTGACTCTCAGAAGCTAAGCAGGGTCCTCCCTGGTCAGTATTTGGATGGGAAACCTCCAAGGAAGTTCAGGGTTGCTACACAGAGGTAGGTGGTGTCAAACCACCTCTGAATGTCTCTTGTCCTGAAAACCTTAACAGAGTCACCATAAGTCAGCTGCGACTTGATGGCACTTTCCACCACCTGGGGAAAATGTCTCACACTGAAAATAACCCTCTGAGATAAGCCTTCCTTCTGCAAATAGGTCAGGAAGGAAGAGCTCCACACCGTTCTCCAAATGGTCACTGCAGAGGAGGGGAGCAGCTAGTGAGCAAGCCCGTGCTCTCTCGCAACTGACTTGTCTGAGCGAGGGGGAACAATAAGCAACCTCCGGCTGTGCTGACCTAAGAGGATGCACGCCAGGAGAAGCAGTCCTTGAAGTGTGTAGGTACCAAGCTGTGAAGAACTTGAATGTAAGAAAAGGCAGGCTGAAAAGAGTGCAGAAACCAACAGGCTGTCAATCAAGGTTTCAAAACTGGTGTCAGGGCCAGTTCAAGGTATTCTGTCATACTGTTATATCCTGAACCTGCTCTGTTACTTGCCACGGTGCTTGACCAATAGAAGTGTCTTCCAGGGGGCTGTGCTACGGATGACTGGGAGTGAGTGCATTGCGGTGCATTGTCTCTCCTCACCGTAGTATTGGAAATTTTCCTTCTTTCTTTCTTTCTTTCTTTCTTTCTTTCTTTCTTTCTTTCTTTCTTTCTTTCTTTCTTATTGGACTTAAAGCCCGCCTGCCCCTGCTCAGTAAGGCTCAGGGTGGGTCACAACATTTGAAATCGACGTACAGTTAAAATACAACTCTGTCTTACGGGCCCTGTGGAATTTTTTCAAATAAGTGCTTTAGTGGCTGACCTAGAGCCCTGGGTGCAGTACAGTTGAGACCAATTGACAACTGCATTCTGTTCTAGTTAATGCTTCAAGGGCACTCATTTCAAGTGGGTTGCGAGAAGCAGGGATCCACAGGGTCAGGTCAGCAGAGTCAGGAAGGCACGACAATTTTCGAACTAAGTGCGGGGGGGGGGGGAAACATTCCTGGCAAAAGCTCTAACCAGACAAACAGATATAAGGAATAGATGCAGGAGAACGGCTAGAGCTCTTCACCTGACCCGAAAATGACAGCTTTATTATATCCAGGACAGGTTCCCCCACATGTGCCATAGATGCCCGCTGGGTGACCTTGGGCCAGTCACTCTCTTGTTGTGAGGATAAAATGGAGGAGAAGAGAATGGTGTAAGCTGCTTTGGGTCCCCATTGGGGGCGAGAGGGAGAGGGAAGGAACAGAAGAAAGGAAGGAAAAGAGAGAGAAAGAAAGAAAGATTGTCACTTTCCTGAAGACCTCTGTCTTGTCTGGCTTCAGTTTCATCATACTGATGACAACTAGCCAGAAAGCTGTAGATGATCTCAGTTAATGGCTTACCATAGATGGCTAGATGCTTATGAGCGGTCCCACTGAACTGAATTGAGCTCATGTCAAATAAACGTATTGCCAATGCACTTGGCTCCTAGAGCCAATTTACCTGTTAAAAGATCCTTGTGTCCCCACATATCCATTGTACAGATACACTCTGGAAGTTCTGTGTTCAGAATTTAATTCCCAGGCATGTAGGGGCCTTGTTCAGATTGAAACAACAGCACAGTGGAGAAGGGCTTTAAGTCGTCGTCCTTTCAAGGGCGTGGGGAAACCCTGTGCTGTTTTCCTGAAGTATCCCAGGGAGCTGTGCATCAGTATTTGTAAATTTCCCCTGTGGGGCAAATAGCAGCTCCCTGGGGCTGTTTCAGGCTGAGAAAGTGGCATGGGAGGGAAGGCATAAGCAATGTTCCCTCTAAGCTGTGGAGCCCTGTGAGCAAAAAATTCTACTTTGTGAGCTACCTGCATTAAAGTTGTGAGCAGGTGAATTGGCTACTAAATAACTTAGTTTGCTCTGGAATCATCCTTCCTGAGCTAAGACAAAAATGTGTGAGCCGGAGGCTAAAAAACTGTGAGCTAGCTCACACTAACTCAGCTTAGAGGGAACACTGGGCATAAGCCCTTCTCCCCGTGCACTGCAGTTCCAGTCTGATTCCTAACCCACTCTCAGGTC